CCACATTAATAACGGGAGCTACATTCTATTATTCACACTTTATCCCCATAAAAGTAAGTGTTACAGCTAATGTTTATAACTCTTGTTGGCCCGGATGTTATCCCGTGGAGAGCCCGGAGACAAGTCGTTGTCAAATTTCACCAAACTATCAGCTTTATATGTTCCGTTTAACCCCAAACCTCATACAAACACAAATCCTTAACTATTTTAAGCAGTCAAACATCTTCCAACCTTATTATAAATTAAAATGTAAAACAATATTAATGACGGCTTCGGACGATACCAGTGTTTCCTTTATACAATGGGTATGTGTAGCATGTGAAAGCTGGGGTGGCTATGTACTGGACTGTTAACATGTAGACCCTAAATGTGGATGCAACGCACATAATTGCTTCTTCTAGTTATTTACATTTTTCACAGTTGATTGGATATTCAAGAAAGACAAAAGCTCATATAGTATTGCATTAGACACAAAGTGGTATGGTCCAATCTAAACGCACCTGTTAAATATTTAAAAGGAATTTTACAACATACACGAGTCTGTGGATTGAACGTCTGCGCATGTGCATCTATGTATGAACTCTATAAACAAGTCATTTGCATATTTGACCAGAGTGTTCTATTTCACTTAAACAGACTGGACATATAGACAAAATGGTAAGTATTTGATCACACGATAACTTTTACTGTTTTGTTCGAACATTACATATTTGTTTATATGGGTTTGATAGTATGCGTTAATTCCAGCAGTTTAGTGACTGTTTGTTTGATTCCATCACCTTAATATTTGTTCATTTATTCGCTTTAGACGACCAGCTTAAGATCGTATGCTTCATGGTCAACAAATGCCTCTTCTTCTACAAATTATCAGAATATTTTATAGCAATGTTCATATTTGTGTTATATTTTTGAAATTTATTAATTGTAATTCAGCGAATATGTCTGTGCTGAGTTTCCAAACTGTGTGAAGGGATTAATATTGAAAAAGAAACACTAAAAATATCTTTTGTTTACTCTTGTAGACTTAACTCTCTATCGTTAAACTGGTCGGTGTAAAATGAGCTTAGCCTATTAACGATCACTGTCATGTTAAAACAAAACACATTTATCTTATACAAATTGTAAAATATATATATGACATTCTTATCATTCAACACTAGCAAAACTCTTCAGCAATATTAAAAAACGAAATTACTGCACGAAAACAATCATACATATTGAATTGTAACAGCACGTGTTAAAAAGTTAAAATGTCATGAATAATGGTCTACAGAAAACGATCTTAAACAAATAGATCATTTGAAAAAATAAGATAAATATATTCTTCAACTCGTTACGTAAGGTTAGCATGTTAATCTTATCATCGTTAGTAAATTACCAAACTTAAAATCGTGTGTTTTTTAACTTTGGAAAATTAAATTGACTGTCATATGTGTGATATCCAGCTATCATATGTTGTGGAACCTCATTTTAAATGGCCCCGTAGATAAGATAAAATACTGACTAAATCTTTGTAATATTCATGTTCCTATAGCATTGCAGTGGATCCCGTGAAAACTTTGGAGCATTTGGCTGCGGCTAAGGTTTATTTGCGTGTTTCAGATTGACCTCTCTTACCTTAAGTTGCCTCAGATTAGACCCCCTAGGTTACCCTTTGTATTGACTGTGATATATATTAGCTGTATTTTATTATAGATGCTGTCTGTCTGTACAGTGATGTTCCTGGGGAGTGCCCTTACAGTACCGTGCTTTGGGTATGGCCTGGGGCCACCCCTAGGTGCATGTGTGAATATGTGGCCAAGCCATGGGATTGACGCCCAGTCCACGGACCCACCCTACACAATCACTGTCAGCAAGGATACGTATACCGCTGGGGAACAACTAACGGGTAAATCTTCATCTAACGTCGAAAGTAATGTTATCAATGCATATACAGTGTTTTTGTCTTATCTAACTGTAATTCATCTTGGTCAGTATCGTTTTCTCAGATTCATATAACCATATATTAACCTAAGCAAAAGTCCATAATTGATAGGTGTACGTACAGATAGGTCATTTGACCTATGAGGAGTATAGCTAGTGGCTAATATAACATTTGAAACCTCTACAACAGGCAATTCGGTTGGGTTGTTATGTCTTCATATAAACTAAAGTTATATAAGTTGTTTTTCCAAGCAATTTTAACATACTAATGTATCATATTTCAAACACGGCTAGATGAAACAGGTTAACAATAGAAAATGACAAGGCCCTAACAACAGTCTCCGTCTGAATGTCCGGTTAACAATAGAAAATGACAAGGCCCTAACAATAGTCTCCGTCTGAATGTCCGATTAACAATAGAAAGGCCCTAACAACAGTCTCCGTCTGAATGTCCGGTTAACAATAGAAAATGACAAGGCCCTAACAACATTCTCCGTCTGAATGTCCGGTTAATAATAGAAAATGACAAGGCCCTAACAACAGTCTCCGTCTGAATGTCCTGGAGATTTATAATGCAAATATCAACTTCAACCAATACCCCTAATAAATATATTTTTAGTTACAAGAAATTACAGAACGTTACATAAAAGGGCGTGGGAAACTCTTATTCTTCTGGTACCGGCAGCTTAATGCGCACAGGACGATTTCCAGTTAGACGATTCGTTAGTAACTGACTACCTTATTTTGACAAAACTGATGGACTGGAAATAATCAGAATGTCCTCCATTGGACAAATGCGCACTTGTTTTAGTGCACACTCAAATTAATGTTTTCCGGTATACCAGATCAATTGCACGTGATTTCCGTACACAGATGGAAAGGTTAATTTTCTCGCCGACAAAAATCTCGACAACTGTCATTTTAAACCTTTATTTGACATATTTTCGAAACAGGGGTTATTTCGTTAATAGTTTTCATCGTTCGTCAATCCAAGATACCGCTAAATCCCGCTAGAAGTAAGGATTTTCCTTCTTCTCGTGGTGTCCTCTTAGGTGTTTGGGATAAACCATTGTCATTTTACTATAACCGAGTGGAATTTTCTATTATATTTTAGTTTTCGTCAACACCACTGACATGTATCCGGAGATACAATTCTTCGAAGGTCTGATGATCCAAGCTAGACGTGCCAAGTGTGACCATGTACACTATCAAGACGCTGTCGGCTCGTTTACATTGGAGGGTGGCGAGGATTTCCTCGGCCTGCTGAACTGTCAGGGTGGAGTCAACGTATGCATTGTTATCAGTGTACAAACATAGAGACAGAATCTTATAGGACGATTTCGAATACTTAAACTTTTCGGGAACCATTTGATAACTTTATCTTGTTGATATTACAAAGACGCAGTGTTGAACAAGTTTAATATATTATTTTTGCAGTTTTGATATTGTGCAAATGACATGTCCTTCAAATAAAGCCTTGGAGAGAGTACTTGCAAGACTACATTCAGTACCTATCAAATACTTCGCTTAAAAGCTAACACAAAAGAGCAGAATTTCATTTAAATTATTATAATTTCCCATGGAATCGTCTGTTTAAAATTAATGAAAGAAATCTAAGATGTATACCACGACTGGTATAATTACGCTAAAACCTTTTGCCGTTATCGGGCTTAGATAACGATCTGATTGATAAAATCTATTATTTTATCACCATAAAGCACAGCTTTTAAATATTTCTATCATTTTGATTTTTGGAAATTGTGATCTTCTACAAAAGAACAAATTAAATAGCAAAAAATGCACGCAGGAACAATAAGCCGAAAGATTATCAGTTATATCATTTATATATAACATATAGGTTATATATGTATAATTTGCTTCTAAAATGCAAATAGAGTCCGATGAGGATTTTTTATCACAGCATTTCGTATCATAAAGTGTATTAAGACTACAAATATTTCAAATTGTAATACATGTTAGTATCAAGGTCGCAAGTCATATTAACAGATGATGGAATGAAGGAGAACGGATTTGAATTATCTTCTTTGTCTTTTTATCCAATACTTGTACTGTTTTCTTTTGGTTATTTTAGAGTACTGTCGCTCACAGGGCCCATGACCACATCTACAATAGAACATTCACGTGGATAGCTCCGTCAACAAGCGTGGGACATGTTTACTTCAGGTCAGTACCACTTATACATACATTTAATGTTGTCCCACACTTCTGTTTCTAATTTTTCCTGAGAACAGCTGTTATAAGTGGATGAAATTGAATTTAAAACCAAGCAACTCTGTACTTCATCCATTTATAAATGTTAATAGGAGTTTTCAAAAGGATAAATGTTTTCTGTTCTTAATTGTTATATTCAATTTTCTTTCTTTTACTGCATATTCATATCACAAAATCAATTAAATATTCTCCTGACATGTTGTCTCGATTACCAGATTAAGGTGCAGGTCGAAGAATTGATTTAGGTTCGTCTTTTAAGATACAAAGTAGTATACAGGTATGCTGTAACCTCGATGGCCTCATTTATCTCATACGAGAGCAAGGTAAAGTTGGACAGTTATTGAGTAGTGTGCACGACTCTTAATAGACACATCTTTCTCTTTATTAATTTGAAACTTAATTTACCAGTACTCTTCTGATGTTTGAAATTCGTATACTCAAGGGATTTACGCACCTCATCTGTTTCAACAGTAGTTTAAAGCAATGAGGATTTCCAACTGTTTTGACCCTAGCATCACCGATGAGTCCAGAAGGAGAAAAATAGTTGTGTGATACAGTGTTATACATTTTTGACATACTGTATATAATAGGACATACTGTATATAATAGGACATACTGTATCTGATAGGACATACTGTATCTGATAGGACATACTGTATCTGATAGGAAATACTAAAGGTGAGATTACCTCTGTGTGTGTTACGTCTTCATCCACGAAATCCGAATGTTTTACAATGTTAAAAATGGTTTTGACTCACTTAACTTACTATGAATTCTTCTCATATAAACTCTATTTTTTAAATTGTTACTTCCGTTTTAAGGTTCACAATATCTGGCTTTAAAGATAATGTCATTGTCAAAATAGCCGCTGACATTACACAAGAATCAGAGTAAATAATGACATAAATTGTAAGTTTATTGCTTGAGGCGTCACATAGACCAACTCAGAAAATAAGTATTAAACAAAGCGTAGCTGAATCGAGTCATTTCGGTACATATATAACAACTATTGTACATACGCTTACAGCGTAGCCGAATCGACATGATTTTGCGGACAACTCGTACACATCACTGATCATTTGCCCGTTGAAGGTGATAGTATACATACCGTACTAGACATCGAAACGTCACATAGAAAGTCGTATTCGTTGTGTATAAACCTTTCAATCTCGGTAAGATATGAGGAAGAAATCATTGGCCGAGAGCCTTATATAGGTACAAGTCCTAATAACCTAGCAGAATGGCAAATACCTTCATCATAATATGTTCTATATTTTCGATACAGGGGGACAATTGTCAGGAGGAAAATAACTTTTTGGACGACATTGAAGTCGGCATTTATTCGAGACACCTCGGATTCTTCTACCCCAGAGTCATGCTACGTCCAAACCAAACTGGCAAATACTGTAACCAACGCAGCAAACATCCGGATCCTCTCCAATATTTCTGTCTTGGTTTCCATCGTGATATGGTGGTTCCGTATATAATCTTTTTTTCATCTCAAAAACTGAACTATTTTAAATAATATATAGTGTACGGGAACAAACCCAGAAAATTAACATTGACTTCAAAAGATGATTGTGTGGTAAGGAAAGGCACATACGTAAAACCTAGTGAATGAAGTATATTTCTAGAAGTACCGTCTACAGTGATTTCGAATACTGTTTACTGCTGTGTTTGAAACATAACATCACTTATGCATATATGTATACAAATATGTATTTTATCCTTATACCTAGAAAATAAACGTTTCCCCATGTTTGCAGCAATGTATTCCGTTTGAGGTGGGACATACAACCCTTTCTCCTTTGCCTCTGTATGTTGGGACATATAACCCTTTTTCCTTTGCCTCGGTATGTTCGGACATACAACCCTTTTTCCTTTGCCTCTGTATGTTGGGACATACAACCCTTTCTCCTTTGCCTCTGTATGTTGGGACAATCAACCCTTTCTCCTTTGCCTCTGTATATTGGGACATAATACCCTTTCTCCTTTGCCTCTGTATGTTGGGACATCCAACCCTTTCTCCTTCGCCTCTGTATGTTGGTACCTTTGTCATACGCCACAAGTTGTTTAGCGATCCTTTCTTCAAAACCGAGGTTGATTATTCAAACGTGGAATATTGAGGACAATATTGATCGAAAGCTTAGCAAAAGGTACATATATTACACATAAAAGTTGTTGTAATTGCGAAGAGTGTTTTGCTTTTAAAATGTTTATTGTCCATGGTATTGAATTTAATGTCGACCAGACAGATATTAGAAAAAGGAACATTTGATCGGAGTACACACTTATCCTCTACAGAATTTTTTCACGAAACATCATCTTTTTGATCACCTTGTGTTCTTGTAGAGATATCGAAATTTAATTACTTGATTTTTAACTCATAAGGCGGTTAAATGATGTTAATATTACCTCAGCTAGATTAACCCTTGAACTAATTTACAACTTCAGACATAACTACTTCGCATACCTTCAATTTGTCAAACACGTATTTTTGTAATTATTTGTGAAGACATAAATTAAAGTTTTCATTCATCGCTTTTTATGAAATATGCTCAACACTGTAAAATAAAATGTCGAAATTAAGACATTCTACAGCTTCCGTCGATCTGCCAGTTATGTGTTTTATTTTGTCACCAATGTTTTATTTAGTCACCAATAAAAAAAGAAAACAGTTCATTGTAGATCCATCTTTTAAATATTAACCATTTCATGGCATTACCGCTATAACGCTTTACCATCGAAAGTTGCGAGTTATACAGCTCATGAACTGCCAACAGCGTTGGAATTCAAAGTAATATAAACAAGCTAAGGTTTCCTCTGTAATGGACAGTTTTTGTGCACGTACCAGTGGCGTTTATTTCCGGTGTCCTGTCGAGAGTTACGTGTGTATGTGTGGAGTATTGTCAGCTTAACGTGATCGTGTAAATAAACCATGTGTAATCAGTGTTAGGTTGCGTTTGTGGTTTTCACATAGTTTTTGGCATAGGTTGTAAGCGCTCGTAAAACAAGAAAGTTAGTGACGTCGCGAAAAATGGGATAACCTGACTCACCCCAGAATAGTTTGAGCTAGCAGTATGTAAGCGAGGTTTCATCTCATTCTTGGTAAGAATTATGATGCTGACTGAAGAACACGGCGAAGATACAACAACGATAAGGTATATACAAAGGCTGGATAAGTCTTTGTGGAAGGACTGGATAAGTTTTTCATAGTGTAGTAGTTGTTGGTCGCTGAATAAGTGACCAGTGGTCGTGAGGCAGTAGGTTAGGATGATTAGCGGTTGTAAGGCCTGTGCACGATGCGGCTATTACGCCGTGTGAGCCGGTGCGCTGCGCTGGATAAGCCGGTGCGCAAGGTTGTCACTGCGCTGTACTAGTGCCGGGAGCACTTGTAATAGTCGTGTGCTAGTTGTTAGTGCCGTGCGCCGCGCTGGATAAGCCGGTGCGCTGTAGGTCTTGTCTAGTCCCCTGTTAAAATTATATGTGTATTGTAGTTGTGAGTCCCGTGGCAAGTAGCACGACCCTGTTTATCTGTTTATTGTATTCAACTGTCTCATAGGTTTGACGCATTAAAATTCTTTGTAAATAATACTAATTATAGTCTGATTAGGTTTGCTTGGGTCCAATTCATATAGGAAGTATCTGCGCTACTACGCAAGTGCGCTAAGGCGAAGTTACCGAACCTGCACAGCATTTCCCGAGAGACACTTGGGACGGACCAAATAGGTACCGACCACGGTGCACGTTACACCTCCCTTTGATCGACAATTTTGTAGCGTTTGTTGACAAACGGAAATTAGTTAAATGATTATCAAACGAGACATAATTTAAAAATGAAAAAATGAAGTTATAAATGACAAAATGCGAAAATAAATGTTACTGTACATTGATCAGAAAAAATAAATGCCACCTTTCCATATACATCTCGCTAACAAAGTGGATGACATCGACGGATAGCTCGCAAGTGAGCTTACTAGCTGATATCGATGACAACAGCGATAAAGATATAGCGCGCTTATTGGAATTTACCTTTGTCCAGTTGGAACAATAGAGCGAGATACAAGAGGTAGGTAGATAAAAATCGCTCCACATGCTTCATACTATTTAATATTTTGATATCATATGTAAAAAAAACTCTGTTTCATATAAATGGAAAGTGTCTGTCTCATTGGCGAAATAATACAGAAAAATATGCTAAATTTACCAAGCCTGATGGTGATCTAATGCTTTTCGAAGTAAACAAAAAACTTAAATAATGTTTAGTGATTCACCATGATCTAGTGACATACTATGATCTAGTGAAACAATATGATCTAGTGACACACTATGATCATATTGTTTCACTAGCTCACAGTATGTCACTAGCTCACGGTATGTCACTAGATCGCTGTTTGTCCCTAGATAATAGTGGTTCACTAGATCACAGAATGTCACTAGATCAGTGCGTCGTGAGTCACTAGATCACAGAATGTCACTAGATCAGTGTGTGGAGTGTCACTAGATCATATTGTATCACTAGATCATATTGTTTCTCTAGATCATATTGTTTCTCTAGATCATATTGTTTCACTAGCTCACAGTATGTCACTAGCTCACGGTATGTCACTAGATCATAGTATGTTACTAGATCACGGTATGTCACTAAATCACAGTATGTCACGAGATCACAGTATGTCCCAAGATAAGAGTGTTTCACTAGATCACAGTGTATCACTAGATCAGAGTATGTCACTAGATCAGTGTGTGGTGTGGCACTAGATCACAGTACGTCACTAGATCACAGTACGTCCCTAGATAATAGTGGTTCACTAGATCACAGTTTGTCACTAGATCACAATATGTCACTAGATCAGTGCGTCGTGAGTCACTAGATCACAGGATGTCACTAGATCACAATATGTCCCTAGATAATAGTGTTACACTAGGTCACAGTATGTCACTAGCTCACGGTATGTCACTAAATCACAGTATGTCACTAGTGAACCACTATTATCTAGGGACATACCGTGATATAGTGACATACGGTGATCTAGTGACACACTATTAATTAGGAACCTACTGTGATCTAGTGTGATCTAGTGACATTCTGTGATCTAGTGACGTACTGTGATCTAGTGGCATACTGTGATCTAGTGTGATCTAGTGAAACACTCTTATCTTGGGACATACTGTGATCTAGGGACACACCGTGATAAAGGGACATACTGTGATATAGTGACATACGGTGATCTAGTGACACACCACACACGTAAAAAAAACTCTGTTTCATATAAATGGAAAGTGTCTGTCTCCTTGGCGAAATAATACAGAAAAATATTCTAAATTAACCAAGCCTGATGGTGATCTAATGCTTTTCGAAGTAAACAAAAAACTTAAATAATGTTTAGTCATTCACCATGATCTAGTAACATACTATGATCTAGTGACACACTGGGATCTAGTGAAACACTCTTATCTAGGGACATACCGTGATCTAGTAACATACTATGATCTAGTCAAACAATATGATCTAGTGAAACACTGTGATCTCGTGACATACTGTGATCAAGTGACATACTATGATCTAGTGACACACTATTAATTAGGCACACGTTTTGATCTAGTGACATATTGTGATCAAGTGACATACTGTGATTTAGTGACATACCGTGAGCTAGTGACATACTGTGATCTAGTGAAACACTATTAATTAGGGACATACTGTGATCTAGTGACATACTGTGATCTAGTGAAACACTATTATCTAGGGACATCCCGTGATCTAGTGACATACTGTGATCTAGTGACACACGACACACTGATCTAGTGACATACTGTGATCTAGTGACACACAGCACACTGATCTAGTGACATACTGTGATTTAGTGACATACCGTGATCTAGTGACATACTGTGATCAAGTGACATACTATGATCTAGTGACATACCGTGATCTAGTAACATACTGTGATCTAGTGACATACTGTGATCTAGTGACACACCACACACTGATCTAGTAACATACTGTGATCTAGTGACATACTGTGATCTAGTGACACACTATGATCTAGTGACACACTATGACCTGGTGAAACACTATGACCTAGTGGCACACTATGATCTAGTGACATACTGTGATCTAGTGACATACTGTGATCTAGTGACATACTGTGATCTAGTGACACACTATGATCTTATGACATACTCTGATAAAGTGACATACTATCACCTAGTCTCATACAATGAACCTATGAAAATTACAGAGTTAAGTAAACGACCTGTATAAGTACAAAAATCGTATATCATTCCATTATAGAGAGAAAACAAATAGAGATAGACAGAGAAAGAATACTCTCTTACTGGTCGCCAGTTTTCGGTAGATAAGAGATATTAATGCTGAAATAGTTTACTTATTCAAAAAAAATGGAATGCGGTTAGTGAAAACTTGACATAGCGGGTAGAAAAAATGCGTTATATACACTTTATCAATATGTTATCGGAACGAAAGAAAGCATGGTCCTATTTCTTTCTGGATCGCTGTACAATTACTAAGTGTCCAAAGTAAAAACATAAAGGGGAAATTGTCCCGTGCTTCAGCAACGCATTTCGTTATTCACTCACTTGACAGTTACGCTCTGCTTCCCGCCATAAGCTTTCAATCTTGCCAAGGCTAGCTGAAGCTCGAAGGGCTCAAACGTCTATATTGATAATGCAACAGGAAACTCTATTCTTATAAGAAACAATGAAAACAACATTTGATACGTACCTTAAATCACCCAAACATTTTACCCCGAGATAAAATTCCGCCTGCATAATGATCCGATTAATACTTGGTGTTATAGGGGTCATATAATCACTTTTATCTATGTCTTGACGTGGTATTGTGGGTTATCTAGAGGTTCGCGTTTGGTTGCTATTTTGGTTTTTTGGTTTTGTCTTCCTGTTTCAATCTGTTCTTCTAGTTCGGTAATCAATTTAAAGTTGACTTTGATTTGAACCTGTTACAATCTTGTAGTTTGTTTCAATTTAAACAAAGAGTTCGCCTCCAGATATTGTTAGAGTTCCTGATTATTTCTAGTATTTCCCTGTTTTCGTGTTTCGACAGTTCTTGGTGCCTTTTTCTGTAGACTTACAGTGTATTGATGATGTCGTTTTTACTTTCCTTAGTACCAGGATGTTGTCATCACACTTACCGGATTTATATAGTCACGAACTTTACTACGATATCGATGTAAAATGTCTATCATTCCCAAAAAAGTCTATGATTGAGCGAGCTTTAGCTCATGGTACCACATATTTAGCTATATTTATTATGACTGTGACCAGTTGAAAGTGTTGAAAGTTATTCACTTCAAAACAAACAATGGAATCATAACAAGTATTGCATTGTTTATATGACGATGGTTTCATACGTGTTAACCCTCGTTTGAAAATAGCCTGCCTACACTTGTGTATTTGACGTTGGCTGTCTATGTTTGTACCTATATCTGAAAATACAGGGTTTACCATTAGTAGATACCTGTTTACTACGTACCATTAGTAGATACCTGTTTACTACGTACCATTAGTAGATACTTGTTTACTACGTCTTGTTTTAAGGTTCATGGTACAGATATGAAACGTTCTGACAAAATTGTGCGCAGTGGATATTTTTCCGCTATTGCGATGTTGAGTTAAGAAACACTGGCCTTCGTTATTTTTATTTTTCTCTGCCCGGACGATAAATTAATCCACTTCATTAACATACCTAACATTGATGAGTTGACATAGAACTACAGTGTAATCTTCAGCTACGTGGTTAATCTCCATTCCAGTTTTATCTTCATTCCAGGGTGCGGGTGAATACATCTTTGTAAATAGTGTGTTACGGTCGCTTGTTTACAACATGCGCAGTAAGAGGATACGTATTTGCTGAATACACTAAAACCATTATCCCCGTTTTCCTCATATGATAAAGTTTATATGAAAAAAATATTAAAACATAGATATGGAAATAGCAATTCCATATGCTATAAATACTGTTTATTACAAAAATTTAATTTGCCAGAAACACAGCTGAATGGACTCTGGCATTACCTCTGTAGATGATGCTAGTATAAGATTCCATGTTTCTTCTTTTTCGTCATTTGAATATGTATACTGGTTTAAATTATGAAAATAAATAAACTCGCAAAAACATATTCAAGGCATTTTTAATTCGAAGAAAAGTATATGATACAGTAATGATATATTTTATGTATTTGTTGTTAATGTACTTATGTTAGATATATAATACAACATATAACTGATACATTCACTTGATCGAGATATGTTCAATACAATATGTATCTTTAATTTGCTATTTTGCTACTAACATGGTGACGAAACAAATATGTCATTTGTAGAACATAGTAAACTGTACTTAACTTACAGGTCGATATTAATTTTCCTGTAAATTTGTGTTAGTGTCAGTCTCAAATTCAAAATCAGTAAAACACTTGTTTTAAGATTGTGTAGATCGTCAGTCAACTCGAGAATATTTGTATAATAATGTTTCATGTCTTAAATCTCTTTTCGAAACAAAAATGTAGCTACTATTATAAACCATCTGAAAATTGTTCTTCTGTTTCGAAAAAATATCTGAGTCACGAAACGGAGCTTTATTATTAAATTCACGCTTATCTTTTAGCATTTCGTTTGTGCGAAGTCATTTTCACTTGACATTTATTATTATATATCATTTCCTGACCTTAATAACGATGTTGATCGGCTGTTAAGCACGAAATTATTATTTAATTGAGACCTGTCAAAAAATGCTTCATACGTAACATAAAAACCGCTCTGGCTGAATCAAAAATGAATTTCCTCACAACTTAGTACAAACTGAAGAGTTAAGGAAATTGAGTGTATGCGAAGTATGAGTTATCTCGGTATTTGTGTATTAGTTCACACGTTAATCAAGCGTCAATGATTCTCTAATGTAAACATCATGTGGGTTATGAATTGAAAACAACAGATATGAATTTTCAATAGAACCTAAGGCGATGAAAAAGTGTGATGTTTTGCCACGATCATCTCGAAAGGAGAAGTTTGTACTCCGATGAAATGTCTTGCTTAACTTATATGTCTGTTCGCCGTCAAATTAGAATTACTTAATAATGGTAATGTTTATTCATTGCGCGAAGCACGGAATAACAACTAACATTTTTAAAGACTTTGGTATGCCCCAGCCTGGGGACAGAACCCATTGCTTTCCTCACCTGGGCGCACGCTTAACAGTAAAGCCCCAAAAGTGAGGTATTGCCCAGCAATGCGCTATTCATTTGGTTATCAATTTCTGAATATAATGTTAAATCACTGGGTTATATGTTTGTTTCCGTAGGATATATTATGTAATTGAGGGGAAACGAAACGCAAGGTAAGAAGTATGCAATTCTATCGTCAATGGATTGCACAAAAATTATAAAACTCGGTCAGACGACTGTCCTGGTCAGGTTACATATTTTGTCTTTTAATTATATTCGAGTGAAAGGTGTTCAGGCAATTGTATTACTATTACTATTACAGACGTTTGAAGGAGACTGCGCTCGTTGCCGTGCGACTGCGATCTGGACGTCTACGTGTGACGTCTCGTCGTCAAGACAGGACCATATTCGTCTTGTATTTGCGTGAATGACATCTTACTGCAGATAAAGCTGCTCGTTATATGCACTAAAAATTATTATACTATTCTGCATTTACCCTACGTTTTTTCCCCTTTCAACACATTTAAAACCTTTCTGTTTTCGAATTTTCGAATAGAAAATGAAATTATATTCTGAACCACCATATCGCGATGATAATGAAGACAGCAAGATTTGAGAGTTTTCGGATATTTGCAGAACTAGTACAGGTATCTGCTTGCTCTGTCTGGACATAGCATGACTCTGGGGTGGAAGTATCCGAGGTGTCCCGAATAAATGTCGACTTCACTGTCGTCCAAAAAGTTGTTTTCCTCCTGACAATTGTCCCCCTGTAATGAAGACACAGTACATATTATAATACAGTAATTTACGATGCAGAATGAAGTAGATATTTGTCATTCTATAAGGGAGTTAGGACTTGTATCTATATGAGGAGTTTCGGCGAATGATTTCTACCTCATATCTTAACGAGATTAAAAAGCATTTTTCATAGTTGGTCTATGCTGGTCAAGCAGTAACTTACACTTCATGTCCTAATTAAGCCTAAATCTTTTGTAAATTCAGCAATTTCGTTTACAATAACATTATTTTCAAAGTTCACCTTAGACACTGAAGTAATGATTTGAAAACTTATTTGATTTTATGTAAGAAGAATTTAGGAAAGTTAAGTCTTCGATCAGCAAATAGGCCTTGTCACAAAAATCACCCGTTTAGCATGGTTCGTATTTGAGTCCAAACAACTTTAAACAATGTAAAAATATCTGATTTAGTTGATCTGACTGACGTAACACACACAGGGGAATGCACCTTTAATAGTTGGTAATATATACAGAGTGCCAAAAATGAATAACACTGAACCAAGCAGCTGATTTCATCCTTCAACCACTAATCGGTGATGCTAGGGTCCAAATACTTCGAAATCTAAATTGGTCTTAACTACTGTTAAAACAGATGGGGGAGGTGCTGTAATCCTTTGATCTACTGGTTTATTTCAAATAAATATCGAGTAAAGTATTTCTATTAAGAATCTCATCCTTTAAATTCCAGGGGTTACGCTCTCTTTCGCTCTCTGCACCTGTGGAATATGTCATAACCAAATTGAAGGCACTCAACTAGCTATTTGATTGGTATCAAGGACAAAAATGACCAATCGCTAAGGCCGATACCTGTCCTTTGTAGATTACAGAGGGGCGACACCCGAATTCAAAGCCAGTCAAGTTTATTGTTACGCAACCCACAGATTCTTTTAATGGACATCAAAGGATCAAACTAGACTTCTCATTTCATCCATAACGAGGCACAAACTTAGCCTTCGATTTTGCTATGACATATTCAAGGGGTGCAGAGAGGGAAAATGAGTGTAACTCATGGAGTATCGAGGTGGTGAGGAACCGTGCCACAACTCATATGAAATACATGAGGCCATCAAGGTTACAGCAAACCTCGGTGACGTCAACAAATCCACCGGCAGAGTCTACTACATCGTATCGTAAAACATGAACCTAAGACACGGGCTGCATCTTAACAATTGGTAATAGATACAGCATGCCAGAAACGAATCACACTGAAGCATACAGCAATTTTGCCTTTCTAGGACTCATCGGTGATGCTTTGGGCCAATAAGCTAGAAACCCGAAACCAAAAGTAAATTTGCCTACACTGATTTTGATTCAAAAGCATTTCTACTTCTACAAGTGAATATGTCAAAATGTTGTTGCATGTGTGTTTTTTTATTTTAGAGAATAAACAGAATGATACCGGACAGGTCTCTTTTACATTTTTCAATTTTGAGTTCGACCATATTTTAAAAATTTCAAAACTAATCTATTTAGTTAAAATATCTTTATATTTCGAAAACAAATATTTTCTCATGAAGGCGTTTAAGTAGTAGGTGCCATTTATATATATTGGTATTTAGAGTCAACAACTGTAAAACGTTGAGTTGAAATTGCAGGAGAATACCAATACGATATTGTGATTTGAATAGAGAAATTAGAACTATAACAATGAAGGTCAGATCTATCTTGTCCCTTTGGAAAATTCGCTTCACATTTAAGAATGGATAAAGTACTGAGTTGCCTTCTTTTAAATTCAATGTTATTCACGTATTACAGCTGTTGTCAGGACATTTAGTAACAGAAGAGTGGGACAACAAAAAATGTATATATAAGTGGTACTGACCTGAAGTAAACATGTCCCACGCTTGTTGACGGAGCTATCCACGTGAATGTTCTATTGTAGATGTGGTCATGGGCCCTGTGAGCGACAGTACTCTAAAATAACCAAAAGAAAACAATACAAGTATTGGATAAAAAGACAAAGAAGATAATACAAATCCGTTCTCCTTCATTCCATCAATTTGAAATATTTTCTGTCTTACTACACTATGTAATACGAAAAGTTGTGATATAAATTTATCAATCGGAACTCCGTTTGCTTTTTCAGGAACAAATTTAGCATTAAACTTTGAAAATAATATAGTTTGTTGTGAGTGCTGATAATCTGTTCTGTGTTTTATTTTCATTTCTGCGTACATTTCTTGTAGTTTTAACTAATTTCGTAGATTATCACATTTTCCCCCCAAAATCAACATGATATAAATATTTTGCACGTAAAACAACTAGCTGTGTTATAATGGTAATACAATCAATTTAGTTTCTTAACCAAATGTTATCTTCACCCGTTTGTGAAAAGGTTTTACATTAATTATACCAGTGTTAGATTTATATCTTAGATCTAAAACTAATCAATTATATTAAAGGGACATCACGTGAAGAGCCATTTTTTGTTTAATGAATGTATGTATTGTATGCACTTCCACTTTTGTTGCCTCGCGATCCCCATATTCATAGTCCGTTCCAAATGTCCAGTTTGACCACTTGAATTGTTCGGGAAAGCCCTGCTAAAAATAGCGCCGATAATGTCACCTGACTAGGCAGTAAACACGAGCGGTCTGGGCGAGATGAAACGGTTTCCAAAGGTGCCCCCAGAGAGGGGCGTCAGACAACTGCAACTTCTTACCGCACTATGAAACCAAGTACTATGATTTCTAAGACCGTATTAAAACTTATTGAAAAGTAGTTATTCATCATCAGAAGTTAATTGCACACTTGCCAATATTCAGAATATAAATTTATTTAGCTTTAAACATATTTGTTGCCAATAAAATTGAACAAGGGATGGGGCACACGTTTTTACAATTTATCACAGCCTTCTCCCGTCATACATTTACAATCAAATGTCAACAATGATAATAGGCATAAACATAAAGTATATATAAATGAATATATATTGAATTTAGTACCGGAATGTGACATCTGTACGGGGCTAAACACCTTCTTCAACCATGGGACAAACCTTTCTGTAAAAAGGAATATTCACGAGACGAATATCCCTTTTCAAATGTTTTCATAAAGTGCATATATGCAATGACAAACTACACGCGTATCAAAAAAAGAGAAACGTTTGTGATTTTTTTATTACATTGTACAACTTAATACCTTTGGCCAATTATTTTTTCTATACCATGTATATAAATTTATGTATACTCTCTTTCCCACTTTCACTGTCTCCATACGCTAACACTTAGTAAGTCATATTAGCCATCACACACACTAAACTGTATGGCAAAGCCACTACGTGTACATGTAGAATATGTGTCAGATATGGGTCGTGTTGAGATACTTGATAATTATATTTTTTCAATACTTTTCATAGATTAAAGCATTCTTGTCAATGGACCCTTCCCCATGTTGAACCAACTTTTCTTTAATTATTTCATTTTTGTCCGAAACAGAAGTCGTAGTTATCGGCAGCACGCGTCATTTTTACAACGTAAACAAATGTTTCTTCCCCTGTTTTAAATGCGTATTCCGACTCTATCTGAAGTCGAAAATTAATTCTTTATAGAGAAAAGGTTGTTACATAATCATACATTCTAAGTCAACAACATGAAAACATGAACTGTTGAAAAATTACGATTTAAAAAAAAAAGGTTACGCGATCCTACTTACTAGAAGTAGGTTCTCCTTCCTCAGTTATTCATCCTGGCCCGTCATTTTGGCATTTTTAATCTAGCTGCGATAATGTAGCTTTCTGACGACGAGAGATTTTTTTTAGATATTGCGTCGTCGCGCCAGAGGAAGCCGGGTATTCATATTAGTACTAATTTAAATCTTGTATGTAAAAACAAACAAAAAATCGTTTAGTTCAGTAATATAATTAAATCATACCATTTTACTGAACCCGGTAATATTATATATTATGTAAATCTAAAAGCGCACATATCTCATTTGACCCCGATCACGAGTACCGACAGAGACAGAATACGCCGTGGCTATCGCAACAGCTAACCCGTGGAGGGCCTCATGACAAAAACAAATTAACCAGTCACTTATCCCTTCCTTTCGCATAAACCACTGTATAATTAAAGAAACACAAAGTAAACTCTCTCAGATACATACCCATTGACATATTAAACTAAGTTCATCTGTGTTCAAACTCAGACAAAGATACTAGCGAGGTTAATAGTTTTATATATTTATTCATAACATAAACAGCGCTAGCATTTCTGTCATATCCATGTAAGCTTAACCGGCCTAACTGCTACGACTGTTATTTTCTCCTTTGAATACTTCCCACCTGTAATAATGATTCCATAACGCACTCCTTGCGTTATCTTTTGACCATTTGGCAACTTTTCGCTTAGTAGCTGACACGGTCAACACTTTTCTTTGGCTTACTTCACACGGCCAGTCATTGTGTTTACAAAGAAATGGTGTGCAATGCGCATGCGCTAGTAGAGGGAAATCCCTCAACAAAACGTTGGTCAGACAGGTAGAAATACCGATGATTATCTTAGTTTTTAATCATTTTTATGAATCTATTTAAGCCAAATCCGATCGTTATTTTCCATAAGGAGTCTCACTTGATATGTTTATGTAGTATTTAAAAAAACAAAGGCAAAACAATAGTTACTTCAGTGTGATGCCTCTTTAAAAGAATAAACGATTTTATGAAAAGTTATTATTTAGATGACTTCTGCTCTTTTGTGTTAGCTTCTTAAGTGATGATGTTAATAGGAACGGATGGTTTTTGGAAGCATTACCTCCAACGCTGTATTTGAAGAACATATCATTTGCAAAATTTCAAAACTGCAAAAATGAAATATCAAATATCAACGAGATAAAATTCGTAAAAAAGGTATCAAATGGTTTCCAGAAAGTTTAAGCATTCGAAATCGTCCTTTAAGATTCTGTCTCTATGTTTTTACACTGATAACAATACATACGTTAACTCCACCCTGACAGTTCAGCAGGCCTAGGAAATCCTCGCCACTCTCCAATGTAAACGAGCCGACAGCTTCTTGATAGTGTACATGGCTACACTTGGCACGCCTAGCTTGGATTATCAGACCTTCGAAAAACTGTATCTCCGGATTCAGGTCAGTGGTGTTGACGAAAACTAAAATATAAAAGGAAATTCGGTTGTAATAAAATACACGTAAGAGGACACCACGGGAAAGAGTATTTATATGATTAGAATGTATATCCTAAAGTACGAAAGGACAGAAATAGCGATCCAATGTGTTACAAAGGAGCAGATCAAGTTGTCTCTTCATTGACCGGATCCGGTCATCATCCGATCAGAAAGATTTCATTGAAAAAATAAATGGAACATTCTAGCGAAAATGCGATGCTCAATATACCAAGCAGTTTAAAATTAACATTTCGCATTAAACATGCTTGCTATTTTTAAGAATGTTCTATTCAGTATTGAATATTCAAAATGTGTACCAATTTTTAGGTTTTACTTAAACAATATCCTGATCTGAATTGTTGTTTATCTTATTTCTTTAGAGAATGAAGGTTATGTCCAAAAGGTCTATATCAAACAGCTGTTTCATTTTATTTTAACAGACAATCTTAAAGAAAGAAATAAGTATTCCTTGTTAGCATTATACCATTATTCGGAAATCCTTGCAACCGCTCAATGATTGCCCCGGACGATTGTGTCGCTATACATAATTGGATAATGGCAAGGCCCCATTACAATCTCCATCACATCAATCGACCTTAGTTGAGTCAGTACGTCATTGAATAAGTTACTCATAGGACATCTTAAAATTGTCCTATTAGACGTTTCTATCTAGAAATTTCCCGATGCACAGAGGACTGATGATTCAGTTTTCATCCCCTACCTACGATGTTTACATTTTGCAGTTGATTTGGTTCTCAAGAGATTGCTCCGAATATATGACTTCCGTGATAGATGTAGACTTCCTGCTAACGGACGAACTTACAGCACATGGTTCCCAACGACGCAGGTCATTGAAGACTATTGACCAATTTTATGGTCGCCATCATGATTTCTTAGAGAAATATGCTATTTCTTTGTATGAAGGAAGGTGATTCTGATCATTCTAATTAGTGAGCCTTGTTGATTTGTTGTCATTACCCGAGTTCTTGATGTGACGACATTACATTTCTTGAGTTTGAAGTAACATTGCGGGTGTCGTTGATGAGGCAGGAGACACTTACCCTTCATGGTCATAGTTTCTATGTACTTTTTAAGGGGCTCTATATAAATATTACCATTGCTAATATTTCGAAATTTGGTTTTGTTGGCACCGGTATTCCCTTACGCCCTTTTCTGTAAAGTTTTGAGTGTATCTGTTAAGGGCATTATTTCGTTCAGGTTCCAAACGATGTTACTTTGTGTATTTGGTCGTATCTTTAACGGAACTGAAGAAACTAAAATTGGAGCCAAGGGTTGAAGCTCGGGCTCTGGAGTTTGATCCCCTCCCCAACTAAAACAAGAGGCCCAATGGGCCTGAATCGCTCACCTGGTATTAATCTCACACTTGTAACCTTAAAAGGGGACTAAAATACAGCTACACTACAGGCAGATATCAGTGTTTGATTCATAAGAACCTATCAAAAGATTTAAAAATATGACGACTGTCCTCTTGAATGTCGAACAAGGACATTAAGTTGAACGTAGTTTATAGTCTTCTAACCCAGCATGCATCTGGCAAAATATCATTACCCTCGACCTTTTGGTTAATTAAAACAGGTAATTTAAAGATTTAAACATATATTGACCACTGTGATCTTGACAATGGGTGAAGGATATTCATTTGAACAAACTTCGTAGTCCTTCATCCCAGCATGTTAATGGCCAAATATCATCACCCTTTGCATTTTGCTTATTGAGAAAAGGTATTTTAAAGGTTTTAAATATATTTGACCCCTGTGACCTTGAATACGTGTCAAGGTCATTATTTGGAGAAACTTGGTAGCCCTTTATCCCAGCATGCTTCTGGCCAAATATCATTCTCCTAGGACTTTCGGTTTTTGACAAGAAGTTGTTCAAAAGTTTTAAACATATTTGACCTATGTGACTTTGAATAATTGTCAAGGTCATTCATTTGAACAAACTTGGTAGCCCTTCATCCCAGCATGCTACTGGCTAAATATTTTTACCCTAGGCCTCTTGGTTATTCATAAGAAGTTTTTATGATAACCGTAGGCCTCTTGGTTATTAAGAAGAAGGTGTTTAAAGGTTTTAAACCTAATTGACCCCTGTGACCTTGTATAAACGTCAAGGTCATTCATTTGATGATACTTGGTAGCCCTTTATCCCAGCATGCTTCTGGCCAAATATCATCACCCTAGGACTATTGTTTATTGAGAAAAAGTTGTTTAAAGGTTTAATTATATCTGACCCATGTGAACTTGAATATTTGTCAAGGTCATTCATTTGAACAAACTTGATAGCCCTACATCCAAGCATACTTCTGGCCAAATATCATAACCGTAGGCCTCTTGATTATTTTAAAAGAAGATGTTTAAAGGTTTTAAACATATTTGACCCATGTGACCTTGTATATACCTCAAGGTCATTCGTTTGAATACATTTGGTAGCCCTTTAATCCAGTATGTTACTTGCCAAATATTATTATCCTAGGCTTCTTGGTTATTTAGAAGAAGTTGTTTTAAGATTTAAAAGACAATTGACCCCTGTGACCTTGAATATAAGTGAAGATCATTCATTTCAACAAACTTGGTAGCCCTTTAGCCCAGTATGCTACCGGCCAAATGTCATCACCCTGGGCATTTTAGTTATTGTGAAGAAGTTGTTTAAAGTTTTAAACATATTTGACCGATGTGACCTTGAATATAAGTCAAGGTCATTCATTTGAACAAACTTGGTAGCCCTTCATCCAAGCATGTTACTGGCCAAATATCATCACCCTATGCCTCTTGGTTTTTCCGGAGAAGTTGTTTAAAATTTTAAACATATTTGACCCTTGTGACCTTGAAAATTGATGAAGGTCATGTATTTGAACGAACTTGGTAGCCCTTCATCCAGCATGATTCTGGCCAAATATCATCATCCTATGCATTTTGGTTACTGAGGAGAAGTTGTTTAAAGTAACAGGTTGACGCCGGACGGACGACGGACGGCGCACCAGTGGACAAGTTCACTTGCCCTTCGGGCAGGTGAGCTAAAAATAGATATTTAAATATGATATGGTTTTAAAAGGTCTGTCAGCCACCCGTAGATATTCCGAAAAAATATCAGGGGGGGGGAGGGTTTACCGAATCAGAGTGTAACGGATACTTACACTCGATTCCAGGCTTTAAAGGTTTTTGTTCCAGTGGGATTTTTAATTACTTGTAAAATTTATTAGTGATATGTTTAAAGCAAGTAGTCGTGTTTCCAAAGGCTGACGAGTACATGTCGCCTTCCACAGGGTTTTACACAATGGGGCATTGTTACTGAAAAGTGCAGCTGACCATCCACAGGGCTTTCTACTCTACATTTATAAATTTATAAATGCACATTCCAGTTCGTTAAGCCATCCTTAACGTTATACATATGCATCCCCAAAAATGAATTAATCATAAAATATAGTTATTAAATGTAATAAAATAAAAGTATTATATATTTTATTCATAAACTTTTTGAACAGACAAGTATTCAATGTATTTCTGTACAGCGATTCAGACTGGTTATAGTTAACAAAAAAAGGTAAAGAAAAAAAACTATACGGTTGAAACTGTTACGACTTAAAGTTTGCCTTGTCTCCTTGGCAACTGCTCATTGACTACAAAATGTATTACGCAATCTTATTCGAATATTGTTGAACAAGGTTAGAGAGAAGTGCATGTGAACTAATGATCAATCAAAATCTAAGATTAGATTATTTATGTTGGCTGTTTGCGTTGACTGATGAAAGGAAGTGTGCCTCGAATGTTTATGAGGTAATTCCATTTATCGGTCCAGGAATACATTCCAAAACCACACTCACCTTTACACTCCAATGAACACTGAGTCATCCGTCTGCGTACCTAGCCGATGCCTGATAAACCTGGTGTAAGGTATACACCACTGAATTCATCTTAAATGAAATCCTTGGTGTCGTTTATAATCCACAATATATATGTTTCTGGCCCTTATACTCAATGTAGTGAATTCACAAACGAAAACAGTTCATCACATACTGTAACATTTTGACAAAAATGGTTTTTTTCTAACGATCCTTACATTTTTATACGTAAAAACTCCCTTTATGTGTTACCTGCGAAGCGAAGGCGATATAGAAGCAATACCACGAGGGCATGTTTAAATTGATACCCAGGATACAAGTAATAGAAACGTCTCCAGTCAGAAATTGTATCATTTCGAAAATTTACAAAAATATATAGTATGAAAAAGAAAATATTGTTCATGATGTCCCAATGAATTTTTAAATATTCTTTTTTGATCTGACTTCTTTTTGCACAACACAACACCGATACACTACTCTCCATCTAGATTGGACACGACCCTATGACTGAGAGATAGTTCTGACTAGCTCTAGGTTTGAAACCTCGCGTTCGGCGTCTTTTGGGCATTGTGTTCGTCCACACGTATGGTTCACTGTGCTCCCGTCTGTTTGATTTCGGGACCAATAATCCCAATTTCCCCTTGATATGTATAATTTCCGTTCCCATGTTCTTATTTCTTGTTTCTTTTATTGCAAAGCTGTACCAACTTGCAACTTTCTTTTATTCCATGGACAGTTCTGTATGGCCTTTTAGTTATTTGTAACACCTTTCCAGCTTTTTATCGCAATTTTGGATTTCTGACCTTTCACAAAAATAAAACTTTGATTATATTCTGACGATGGTTTTGATATTTGTCTCTTCTGCTGCTCATCTCTACTTTTTTCCGATTATGATCTCGACGTTAAAATTCTTCAGTTATATCATTTTGATCCTCCGTTTCCAGTTACTGTGTGTGTATCCATGAATAAGTGATAAGTTCTATTCTTTATGGTTCCACATTTGATATAGATCTTATTCTGTTTCCTCAGTCTTCCGTCCTCATAGTCCCTATAACTGCAATTCCGTACGTAGCTCGTGTAGGCTATTGGACTTACGATATCGAAACTGTATTATGACCGAATGCACCGATTTTCAACAAATGCACGAAATGTTCTATAAAATATCGAAAAGATTTTTATTTTGATACGGTTTCTGTGCCATTGATATATTATAATTAATATTCAAATAATCTGTACAAAACAAGGTTCATATTTCACAACCAACTCGCGCTCGTTTGCTGTTGATTTACTAAGCATTAGTATAACCATATAGTTTACGTTGGGTGTACTCCACAAACAAACACGTTAATCCTAACGATCACAAGTTTGCTGAGTTATGTCATACGTTATCGGAATGGACCGTCAAAGATATGGGCTATGGGAATGCGTCACAAGGCAACCGCTTAAGTAAAGCGGTAGACGGGGACATTCCATCGTGACAAGGACTGCTTCCTAAAGCAATTGTCATGACAATGACTTTCTAAAAACAAGAGCAAGTCCCATAATATCAAAACAGTTTCAGTGACGGCTGGTGTGGGCCATCTTACAAAAGATTAAGTGGCAGGTATCACGGTGGTAGGTTTAAGACAGACAAGAAAATTATATAAATGCTATGGTGTCATAACACTGGTATATTATGTAAATCTCTCACTGTACAACAACAGTGTATATTGCATAAATATTTTGTATTTTAAAACTGATAAGGTCTGTTTGAGTCTGACTTGTTTTGCAATTTTAAAACGAAACACAGCTTCGTCTGGTATTAACTTGTTATTCAAACTTCCTTTTGCGTAACCCTGAGACTTGCAAAGGACTGTAAAATATCGCGTGATACTAGATAAAGAGTTTCGCGTCGTTTCTTTATTCATCTATGGTATGTATGATACGGTGACTGCCCATCCCATGGCTAGATATTACACATATCTTTTACCTATAGCACTGATAGGATTATCCCCAATTCCCGTGAGATTTAACACTTTCCTCATGTATCATACACATGTCTTAACCTATTATCACTGATGCGTCACGAAAAACCCTCACGCCCAACACTTCTCAATACTCTTTTTGTAGGATTATCATCATCATGGCTACCTACAGATATATCATTTTTGTATCCAAATCAGTCCGGGAGTGGAGAAGAAAATTTCAGAACGAAAATTTTATTGATTGACTGAAGGACGGACATGCTGGCTAGAAAAGAAATATTATAATATCATTTTATTAACAGACACAAATAACGGGGAAAAACTTACGTCCAGCGAGAGTTGCGAAAATACAAATATGTCTACAAAATAGCCTTTGTTACGGAAATCTAGTTTGAAATGATAGTTATGTGGCAATGATCCGGTATACCGGGAAACATTAATTGAAGTGCGTACTAAAACCAGTGCGCATTCTTCTCCAAGAGACCCTATGGAGAACATTCTTACTATTTCCGGCCCATCAGTATTTTTGAAAGAAAAAAGTCAATTACTAACGATTCGTCTAACTAAAAATCGCCATGTGCGTACAACACATGGGTGTGAACTCGTTCATTAAGAGCAAATCAAAAATGTGAAATATCTATGGTGAATAATATCAGCGATCTTCGTAAACTTGCTAGATATATTTTTGAGGCAAATAAGGCACGAGTGACGTAAACATGCATATCAATATAATTTATATAAATGTCTATGTATGTATTATTGGCATTTGTATCATTACGGATTACATGTTGTTGTTAATGTCAGATGATGATGTTGATGATGATGATGATGATGATGATGATGATGTGAGAGCGTTAATGATTGTTGAATGCACAATAATGATGTGGGAGTGATAATGAGTGTTGATTGCACAATACATATACGTATATATCATTTGTAATTTATTGTAAATTATAGTTATCCAATAAGTTGTGAAACTTAAGGAATAAAAGTTGAATTGTGTATGTGTGTGTGAGTGTGTGTGTGTGTGTGTGTGTGTATGTGTGTGTGTATCATATTGTATGTTGTCTCTGTATTCTTTTGTATATATATTATAACGGATAAGTCAACCGACTTAAAGTAATAAAGAACTTGAATAAATCTTTTGTAAAATCTATTTTTAAGTAGCAGCTCCGGTCACTTCAGTCAGCAGCTGCCGACACTTTGAAAAATGAGAGATTTTCACGCTCTTTTGTATAAAAACCTGTAAATGTTTCAACAAATTAAACATTGCATATTTATTCGGGTATTAATATCAGGTGATATTTTGCATTATAACCTCCAGTACATTCAGACATCATAACGGTCCATAGATGTGACGGGAAATGTTATTAGGGCCTTGTTACTTTCCTATTGTTCTCCTGTTTCATCTGACCATGTTCAAAATATGATGCCTCGGTGTGGTGACTCCTTGTTTAGAAAACATCATCATATAACTTGAGCTTTTATAAAGACATAATAATCCAACCAAAATGTGTCAGGTAGAGGTGTTCAGATTCTTTATTACCTAACCGGCTCATTAGCCAAATGACCGTTCGATACAAAAAGTTACAATTATGGACTTCTGTTGGGGTTCCTGTGGTAATATGAACCTGAGAAAGTGTGTTAATCGTGTAGTAATACAGTTAATTATGAATAGAACACTCTTTCTGGAATGATAACAATATTTATTAGCTCTATATGAATACTTACCCGTTAATTGTTCCCCAGGGGTATACGTATTCTTGCTGACTGTGATTGTGTATGGTGGGTCCGTAGACTGGGCGTCAACCTCATGGCCTGGCCACATACTCACGCACGCACCTATGGGTGGCCCCAGGCCGTACCCAAGACACGGCACTGTAAGGGCACTCCCCAGGAACATCACTGTCCAAACCGACATCATCTATAAAAGGACACAAAATGACAAATAGGGACTGAGACTAGTAAAGATTAGAGGGATGACTCTGAAAACACAAAAATAAACCTGGTCCGAAGCCATGGTAGGTTTAACAATAATTAACTGCTGCATCATAATGCTAAATAGACATAAATGTTACGACGATTTAGACAGTATTTTTATCCCTGGGGTAATTTAAATTGATGTTCTACAACATGTGACATCAGGTAATCACACCTATAACAGTAAATTTAATTTCCAAAAGTTTAAAAAAAAAAAAAAATCACCTTACGTAACGAGTTGAAGAACATGCTTTTAAATGCAATGGGGTTTTTTTTAAATAAATTGTAGACCGTCGTTCATGATGTTTAAACCTTTCATCACATGATGTTACAATGTACATTTCAATATGTACAACTGTTTTCATTCAGTAAAACATTTCTAAAATTGCCGAAGAGATCTAACAGGATAAACCGTTAATTCAGTTAACAGTTAACAGTTAATCCTTTTGAAAGAAGAGAATCCAGAGTGTCATATATATGACAAGCTCAATTTTATTAGATAATTGTTTTTCTGTTCTGTTTAATCTGACAGTTAACGTTAATGTGTAAAGTTTAGTTCACTTTACACCCACCAGTTTAACGATAGAAAGTCAAGTTTACAAGTGTTTGAAATAGATTTCTGCATGCTATTTTTTCAGTCGCATGCTTACACGCAGTTTGAAAACTCGCGCAGATTGTTGTTAAATGAAGACATATATTCATCACATAACAAATGAGAGCGCGGGTAAATGAACAGCCAAATTTAAATAATAAGATAATCTATTTTTTCTGAATAACCAATAGTCCTAGGATGATGATATTTAGGCAGATTATGCTGGTATGAAGGGCTATAAGTTGTCTTACCCCCAAATGAAGGGGTTTTACCCACTTCTAAAGGCCACATGGGTCACCTTTCTTGTTTTGAATTATCAGGTGGCGTTAGGCCATGAACATTTGGTATGAAACTTACTCATGTGAAAACCAGATGATAAAATAAAATAAAATTTCGAACAACCTTGACCTGCTTTGAAAGTCGCCGATGTGAAATGAATGATATGTGCGCGATACAGATCCATTGGACCTGTTGATGTTGATTTCAAGAAGAGGCTCAGTAACATTTATGCACCTATCCGATTGTAACCTCGTTAGGTAGCGGGTCTGGGTGTAGATCAGATGAAATGTTGAAGCAAGGTAGCGCTGTAAAGAGCGTTTAAATTACGAGGGCATGCCAGTGACCCAGAACACAACAGTTCCCCTTCTTATCGAAACAAAATGTCAACATCAGTATATTCATCCATGATATGTTTTACTATATAGAACATTATCGTACGTTTTACGCAGCGGAACCAGACAATTCCGGTAACTATCTTGTTACTTAATGTATAATACTGACGTTTGAGCCTTTCTATCTACTTTATCTGTAACTTTCATTGTAGGGATGTTATTATTCATGTGTTGTAAAGCGCCCTAGAGTGATTATAAAAATTATATAGGTCGCTATTTAAATGTTGTACATAATTATCATTATTATTATACACTTTAGTTAGAGTTGCACACGTATGAACAAGAAGTATTAGCTTTTGTAAGTTAGTATTGCGACAAACATGTGTATGGAAAACAATTAAACGTTATAATATCAGATGAAACAGGGTAATTACAGATAGCCTGTGCATAAATATCTCTTAATCCTAAACCATGAAAGGAAAAAGTATCTAGCTCAGGTTTCTTTTTAGTCGGGAATCTCCTACCTACAGAGGCCCCAACACATGGCACTCTAGGTACATTTAAAAATAACAAGGACAGTGGTGATATGAATCTGAAATTCAAATTCAAAAAGCAGCATAGAATGCGAGCACAGATGAGTAATGTTAAGAATAAGGCATGGAATAAGAAATGATTTAAATTGTGAACATTTTTATATCACACATGTATTACTTACAATTAAGGTTTCGTCACTATAGAGTGAAATATACATGCAATGCTAATATAGCACGGAGTTAACAATGAGAGAATACACACTTATATATTGCTAATTAACAGATGATTCAGGAGAATAAATAAGAACATATGTCAATACAGAAAACCACTCCTTTTACGCCATCATGTTATTGTTGCGAAGGAATTAACATTCATAAACGTTACTTTGCCGCGAAGGGATGCTAGTAAACGTCCCTTTGTCCAACCACTATACAAAAATACAAAGGAGTGACGAAAATGTGTGGAACAAGTACCTTCAGCTCAACGCTACCATAAAAAAGACACCGTGTAAGAGTTAAACATTTCTTTCGTAATATGGAAATATTGTGTCCTAAGAAGTTTGTGGATGGTAAATTTAATCCACAAATGTATATGTGATCCCTGTCACTCTGGTAAAAAAAAAAACTTCTTCTAACTGATTATTTACCTCGGGGAATTTCTTTTAACTCAATCGGCATCAGAAAAATACAACAGACGTGCCGGGTGTGATCCTTAACGGAGATATTGAAATATCAATTACCAAGGTCACATTCAACTGTACCTGTCGCATTGAGCCACGAAAAAGACTATAACGACTGTGGTTTCCGGTTACATAATTTCCTGTAGTCACTCACATGTGCGTCTATACACTCTGACCTAGTTTCTGACGAAACCCAAGTTGTCGTGACAATAATTGGTTTTGACCTAGATTTGCATTGCGGGTGTCGTTGCTGAACAAAGACATACCCTCCATATACAATTATTTTTGAAATGACCCTGTATTTGCTTGTCTGGGTCTCTGTCTCCACGCTCCGTGCTAGGTCTAGCACAAAATGAGAAAGGTCTACTAAGAAGGCACGGTAGTCTAGTGGTAGGACGCCGGGCTCGTTACCGAAGGGTTGTGGGTTCGAGTCACGGCACGACACTGTGTAGTATCATTATCTCTGCGGAATTCAAGCAGAAGACTGTTCCGCAACCAGGCGAATACTCCTGTCCGTACTTCATACTGTTAAACCTTGGCACCTCTTTAGTGTTTTCGTCCCGAGTTCACAGTTTGACATATTTATATTTACTAGGTTAAGTATTACTCAGGAGGCATTATGTGTTTGGTTTTAAAAGCCTCACAAACCGTGTCTGTCATGCGGTAACACTCAGTGCCTGTTGTGATCAATATTCATTATGAATAGATCTTGACATCTTCTTTATAAAAAAAAAAACGATAGGTGAACGCCCTTCATTTAAATTCTTAAACCCCGTAGGATATGCTATTCAGAAATAGACTTTAAAACTTTTTATGAATGCCAACCGCGATTTCTGTTCTGGATAACCCTTAAATGCATTGAAATAGGTATGTTTCTGTAAAGGATCTCTGATGTTGCTGTTGTAGACGTTTGCAAACAAGTCATATTTAAAAATTGTTCGCTCCCACTTTCCTGTTGTTTGGATTCAAATTGGTGTAGTGAAAGCTATTTAAAGACACATATTATATTAAATAATCGAGACTTGTTTCTTTAAATCTTATTTGTTAATGTGTGCAAAATTCGTGCAAAGCACATTGAAACTTGTGCATAAATTAGTAAGTTGTAGATACAGTGTTTGGGTGGCGGATGACAATATAAAGTATATTGTCGTTTTGGCGGATGTTTTTTTCTTCCGCTCACCTTTGCTTATATTTTATAGACATTTTTAAAAAATTGTTTGAAGAAATAATTGCATTTTTTCGAAATCATGTGTTGCTCAGATCAAGAATTAGTAAAAGAAGTTTTTATCCAAATTTTTCAGAATATGAATAAAAAATTGCGGCCACTTCCGAAAAAGTGAGCCAATTTTTCGCCAATCACAAATGTTTCGGTGTTATGCTGTATTAGTAAAAGAAGTTTTTTAAGCAAACAGAGCTTCACAGCATGGAGATAGTTATAATCACTTTACAGATACATGTATAATTATATAGAAGGTATTGGGAGGAGGTCAAGAGACACCACATGAACTTTTAAGATCGTCAGCACAATATTCAGGATTTGCAGTAAAAGCAAAAAGTGTATAAACTAGTATGTTGTACATACAGTGTATATACTAATAAGTTGTAGACACAGTGTATATACTAGTAAGTTGTAGACACAGTGTTTATACAAGTAAGTTGTACATACAGTGTATATACTAGTAAGTTGTACATACAGTGTATATACTAGATAGTTGTACATACAGTGTATATACTAGTAAGTTGTAGATACAGTCTATATACTAGTAAGTTATACATACAGTGTATATACTAGTAAGTTGTACATACAGTGTATATACTAGTAAGTTGTACATACAGTGTATATACTAGTAAGTAAGTATTTTTTAAATAATTCTTTAAATTTACAAATAAATGAAATCCGCCATAGTATATTTCTGTTTATGAAAGATAAACGTCAGACACACCGATGTGATTGCACCAGTTACATTTTGTGTAATAGTATACTGAAACTGAATGTCAGTGCATTATACAGCTGTTTCGCTCTTCTAGTGCTTAAAAATGTGACAGAATTATACAAACAGTCGTTAAAATGATCGCAAATGATCGAATTAGCGCATATATTACAAATTTGTAATTTTCTAACAAAATAATAAAATATTTCGTGTGATCAAATACTTACCATTTTGCCTATCTGCCTAGTCCGTTTAAGTGAAATAGAACAGAATAGTCAAATGCGCATATGACTTATTTATACAAACAGTAATGCGCATGCGCAGACGTTTAATCTGCAGACTCGTACGTGTTGTTAATTTAGACTTTATAACAAGTTGTGTTTGACAAAAGGCTTTGGATCAATGCTACACTTCTCTGTATCTAGTGCTATACTGTATAGTCAGCTTTAAGCTTTTCCGGATATCTTATCAACCGTGAAAAGGTCAATAACTAGAAGAAGCAATAGCCTACGCTTTCCTTTACCTTATGTGTCATACGGTTAACAACCCAGTATAGACCACATCAGCTTCCACATATTACAAAATCAGGTTTGAAGGTATTTGATTGGACAGTATAGCTTAGGAGTGTTTGTCAGAGTGCATTGGGTGTATACTGAATATTAGCCGATAGTTTGGTGAAATCTGACAAGGACACACCCGACCAAGTGGGTTTTCTCCGGGTTCCCCCGGTAATTTGTATGCTGTAACTTTGAAACATGATCACAAATATAAATCTAAAAGGTCCGGGAATTAAACACCACCGCTAACAAAAGCTGTCAAAAGTTAAAACACCGCTTTTACAGATACGTCGACGATAAAAAATGTTTTAAACAAATATTTCCCACCGCTGCCAACCAGTCAATCGATAACGACCACATACAAAGGACTAGGGGCGTTAAGGGGCATTTCTGACCCCATCGGGGAAATGGAATTAGTTGCTATATTCGTAATTTGGAATAAATGAAGTACGCAAACATGAAATTTCAAATTCGTTGGACTACTGCTTGAGGAGATATGGATTTACCAAGAGCGACACAAACGCTTAGGTTCATAATAAAATGCGTGAATGTCGTCTGTTGTGCGCTATTTGGTTGTAAATTGGCCATTTTGAAGGAAATTAACTAAACACTTTTTCAATTTTTGAAAGCCTCCACATGCAACAAACAAATAAATATTTGACATGCTTAAACATTGTTATACCAGTGTTCATTCGTAGAAAAGAATTTGTGTTTGTCACATGCGGAGGCTTTCATTTCTGCATGTTTACTGACCAAAAACACCATATGTTGGCTATTTCTGCATAGCAACGCAGTTTCGTTGCTTGGTAGAGTATCATTGCATGCGCACTGAAAAAAATCTACACTAAGAAAGATAGCCAATATTATCAGACGTAACATCAAGTACACCAACTAGACACCAGGTAATTCATAATGTGTATTTAAGGACTCACAAAACTAAATCAGCCAATCAGCAAGTGCTTCATACGATTGTAATCCTTACCTAAAAATTGTTCCGGTTAAATACAGTGCCTCAGAGCAATTACAATAGGTAATTGTTGACATATTTCAAATTGAATAAATTCTATAGATATTAAACATTAGAAAAACGTATAGTTTTAGTAAATTTTAATATGTGATAGCGGATTAATATGAGGTCAACCGTCCCAATTCACCGGTTTGGCTTGTAAACGTCAAGTTGTCAAAAGCAGACGCCTCGCCAAAAATGCTTTTGGAGCCTATGTTAGGTATGTGTCTAAGAATCTAGACAGTATTAAAGCTACTAGCCCAAAAGCTTAGTAATAACATATAGTAAATGGTTTAGTTGTGCGAGTCCTATAACATTACAGCCGAGACGTAACATCAACTACTCCAACTAAACACCGGATAATTTATACTGTGTATATCACAGTA